CCTACCACTAGTTTTAAACCACCTGCCTACTGGTCCATATTTGTATAAGAGCAATGAATACTGTTAACTGTTTCCTAAAGTTGCTTATCACATCACATCTTTTTCACTCACCTGATCTTGCATATATGCAGCCCCCAACGTGATGTGTTCCCTAGTGAATTGCTCCGGTTTTGACTGTTGGTTGGCTTTTAGCTACCAAATCCAAGGGCTCTTATGGCCAAGTAGAGCACGACTCCTTAAAGAATCATCTCTTCCAGGTGTATCCCCAGTCACCCTTTATTGAGAATCTGCTTTAATCTCCTGGTAGACACTCCATACAGATCTGATTGGCTTAAGCTGCCAAATCTAGGGGCATAAATGCCAAGCAGGGCACAACTTCTCACATAAACCGCTGATCAGCCATGCTTTGTAGGGATGGTGTCGATCCAGTGCTCTTCTTCAAAGCTTCCTTATTTGACAGTTAACAGAAAAGGAATGTGTAGTGCGGGATTGGATAAGATGAAGTACAGCTTAATCTGTACATCTAAATGAGAGGTTGTAGTTGGTGATTGATAAGGATTAGCTAAGATGGAGTATAGCCCAGTCTGTATATCCAAATGAGTGGTGACAACTTTTTTCTTAGATGATCATCGTAACACCATCTGGACGATTGTCACACCGCCGCGCCTTAACGAAAAGATCACAATCTCAACGCCCACTGGATTAGCGTGTGAAATAGTTTCTTATGAAAAACAGCACGTAATTGGTCATGGTGCCAGATACCATATTAATCTATTCAATCGCCTTCACATAGGATTGAACTGATATTTTGTGATCTGACCTGTGAAGCACTAACCACTGTGCTATGGATCCATAGGTCTTAAATATATTTTTTAATATTGGATTAATAAAATATTTAATTAAGATAATTTTATTAAAATTTAAACAACTAATCATATTTTTATATTTTTTTTATTATACAAATAATAATATTAAAAATTATAATTATTGTATTATTTAAATTAATTGATTAATATATAACAAAAATATAAACAAAATATAATTCCTTATATGTTTTTTGTTATATAATACAATAATAATAATATAATTGAAAAAGCAAAAAAATAGAATATTATAATATTTTTTGATTAAAAACTATTTGATAACTTTTTTTTCTTCTTTTATATTAATTTTTTTTTTTTTAAGATTAAAAAAAGTTTTATTTCAATTTAATAACAAATTTTTTTAATTATTAATTATTTTGAAAAAATTGAAAAAAAAGTTTTATAACTTTTTATTAATTAAATAAAATTATACTTTTAAAAAAAAAATGATTTGTAAAAGAAATTAATAATAAAACTAATATTTTTTTTAATCAGAAGTTTTAAAAATAAAATTTTAAAAAATACTTTTTAAAATAATAAAAATTAAATAATTTTTTAATTACAGATAATTAAACTAAAAATTAACTTAAAAAAGTTTTTATTTTATTAATACAAATTATTTATTTATTTTTATTTATTTTTTTAGATTATAAAAATTATTTTGGATTTTTTACAAATCCTTTTACCAATCCAAAAAACAAATGTTCTCAAAATATTATTTATTTATAATAATAAAAACTATATACTTTTTTTAAAACTGATACCTGAATTTTTTTAAAAAAAAAAACTATTTCCCACTCCCCCTTCTATGCTTGAAAATTTCCTTTTTAGGAAACTTTTTGAGTTGTTTATTTTTTTTTCACTTTCTCCCTTCCCTTTTCCTTTTCTTGATTGCAAATCTTTTATTTTCCTCTCCTTCCTCTCTCCTTCTTTTTCTATTTCTTCTTTTTATACTTTTTTCTTCCCTTCTCTTTTTCCCCTTTCTTCCTGCTGAAGTTGGGTTTTTTCTTCTTCCTAAAGTTTTTCCTTTCTAGACCTCTCCTTCTTTCTAAAAATACCATACTCCATTTTATCACTCCTTTGGCCAGTTGACTCCATTTTCTCAAAAACCATATAAGAAGTGATAACCTTCTCCAAGAAGTGGACTTTGACAAGTTTTTCTCTTACATGATTTTTAAAAAAAGGATGGATGGTTTACCCCCTCCAAAAGATCGGCATGGCCATCATTATCAAATCTAATGTTGTTTACTTGTTGATAGCTAGATTAGATATGTTTAAGAAACCAGTACACATTATAATTGACTGAATCTTTAGGTGCTGTGCCTTATGAAAATCTAGTAGAACAATACATGAAGACTAGGAATTCTAGTTACTCCCATAAACAGAGCTGGTGATGCCAATCGCTTACTTCTCGACAATGTAGATTTCATGTACAAAGTTAGGTAACAATGTTTATAAGAAAATCATATCCAACTTTATTTATTGAATACTTCCGCCACACTTGAACAATGGATATACCAAATTCTTTTTGTGACTTGGAGACCAACCTGCATAAAGTGGCTGCAGCACCTTTATGTATTAAGATAATCAATTATGAATCAAATCTGGCAGTAATGTTACTATTGACTCCTCTTGCCATATATCAAGTTATATTTGAAAAGCAAGGGTGCTAATCTTACTCATAACTTAAAGGCCAACTTATGGAACTATGGTTACAATGCCTTCATATGTTTAGATAATCAAATTATCTCTAGGAAACTAAATGCCACCTAAGACGTTTATATAGGTTTTGAAATTCATTTTATTATATGTCTTGAGGATATCCAGAGTATAGATGGAGGGTCACTGAGCCTGGTGTTTAATTCTACTAAGTTTAGAGAAATGTATATCTTTTTTTGTAAATTGTAAATCTTGTCTCAAGTTTAAAAGTACAATAAAAAATCTTAAAGGATTGTCATCTTGCTCTTTAAAAAAAAAAAAAAAAAAAAGTGATACTTTTCCCTCTTGTTTACCTTTTTTTTTTCAAAAATCTTTATATATTTTAATGACAAAATAAACAAAACTTTATCTATTTAATTTATAGCAAGAGCACCTTATTGAAAAAAAGAAATCTGTCAAAAAAATACTTTCCACTATACTCTCTTTAGATCTGAAACTCTAGAAAGCAAGCTACTAGTGAATGTATTTTCCAAGCTCTATAAGAATCTTGGGTTTACTATAAATAAATACCTAATGTCTAAAGTATATGAATAAGCTAGTAAAAAGTCTATTTAAATATATAATTTTTTCTTATTAATTATATAGGACTATAGTAATGTTTTCAAGTATATTAAAGTTTTTTGTAGTTTTTTGAAAAATTTTGTCTACCTCAATTTAATCTGAATTTTTTGTTACATCAGAAATTCTGGTTAGTAATTAGTTAAAATCTTAAACTAATTAATTAATATATAAAAAAAATATAAACAAGACATACTGTATATTCTCTATATATTCCATATCATATTATACTAAAATTGATAAAGCAATTGGATATAACAAAAGAGTAAGATGTCAAAGTATCTTCTTATTAGAAGTGGTTTAAAGTCTTTTTTCTTTTCTTTTGTATTGATTTCTTTTTTTTTCAAATCAAAGAAGGTTCTTATTAGACTGATGATTAATAGAAATAAGTTTTTATTTATTAGAACAAATTTTTCTTTTTTTCTTTTATTCTTTCTTCCTTTTTATTTCTAAAAAAATAATAATTTTTTACTCCTTACAATTATAATAATTATATTGAGATAACAATCAAAAATATTAATCGACTATAATATTTTATATAGACAAAAAATATTTTTTTTATTAAACACTATTTTTATTCCTCATAGTCTAGCCTAGAAAGTTGAAAAAATTTAAAAAGTTTAAAATAGTTAATATTATACAATAATAGTTTAATAAATTAACTTTTTTATAGTGAAATAGTTAATATAGATAAAATGATAATTTTAATATTAAGAATTAAAAATTATATATAAATTTATTAGACTTATTAATAAATTGCTATAACCTTAAAAATGTCTAACAATAGTATAAAACTATATTATTTAAAAAAGTTTAATAAATATAATGGCTTGTAATCTAATTAGAAATAAAAAAAAACAAAAAAAAAAATTATTTTAAAATAACAGTTTTGATAAAATATTGATATAATGTTTTAAATTAATAAGAAATATTTTTCAAAAATAAAAAAACTTATTTATTTTTTACAATTTTATTTAAAGATCTTTAATTATTAATAGATATATTATATAATATAATATTAATAAATTTGATTTTAATAAAATATTATTCTAATATTTATACTATTATTTTTTATAAATAATTAATAAATATAAGTGGCATATAGCTTAATTAAAAGTAAAAAAAAAAAAAGGTTATATAAAAAAATTTTTTTTTATAGTTTACTTATATATTATTTTAAAATTATTTATTTGTAAAAATGATCTGCAGGCTATAACTTTATTAAATTTTAATTCTAATTAATAGATAAGCAATATATTATTTCTATAAATTGCATCTAAAGACTTAATGTTATAAACAAGTAAGCTGGGTTGAGAAGATTTATACAGTATATACAATTTCAATTGTAATAGTTTGCTATGATTTAATAAATAAACAATTCCAACCTGATTAAAAGTTTTAAAAAAAATTACAATATTTTATAATATAATATAATTGAAAAATGTTTATTTTTTTTTTTATGTATTATTATAATAATATACAAACAATGAAAAAAGAATGTTTCTCTAATAAAAAAAAAACGTTTTTATTTAATAATAATCTAATTTATTTTTTTGATTTGCTTTATTAAAATATTTCAAATACATAATTGAATTTCGTAAACAAAACAAATTCCATTGTAGGTATGTACATGAAATGGTTCTGGTTCAACAACCTGTTCGCTAACCATATTAAAAGCACAATAATGCTCTAAACATTCTACTTAAAAAGATTTACATTATTAATTCAATGCTTAATCTATGATTCTAATAGTAAAAACAGAAAAATGTCATTGATACCATATATCTTCAAAATTTCCTGTGACTTACAAGCGTTCTGTACCGTCTCACTCTTGCTAAATATTACTTTAACGGCATCATCTCACAGATCGTTATGAATTGCATCACGAACCACACCTTTTACTCCCTGAACCAACTTTTGTTTTGTCATCATAAGTTCTTCGTTCCCTTTTTCTACGTCAATACTAACATATATCCAATATAAAATGATTGCAATAAAGACATAAAATCCAAATTTAATCATTCCCACAACCGTCCCGTAAACCCATCGAAATATCATCCTAGCGATCGAAAACAGGACGTAGAGTAGTGCGAAGGAAACGAAAAGCACGACAAAATCGGAGGAAGATGTCAAGGCATTTAGGTTCGTGTAAATTGCGTCCATAGTTTGATTGACATTCAAATCAAGGAAATATAAGTTGGTTTGCGCCCATAGATATTGGATTGTTTCAAGAGTTTGTAAAGTTATGTTAAGCATTTTTGAGAAAGC